GAGAGAGACGAGGAGTACATCAATCCAAATGGGTTTAATTAAGACAAAGGAACACGGAACACTCACGCTATACATATAGACATGAACAATACCAGACACTGAACTAAAGACAGGGAACACTATTTAAACACATGACAAGACGAGGGGATGACGAGACACACCTGGGATCGATGAAAACAAACTGGGAACACCTGGGATTAAATCAACATAATCAGGACAGGAACAGGAAACTAACCAAATCTGGGCATAAACACAGGGACACAGGGAGTACATGGGGAACAAAACACAACACAAGCCTGGCACCTGTGTTCAAAACCAAAACAAAACACAATGCGTAAAAGCACCTGTAAAAAATCAATACAGAAAATTCCTTCATACTAACACAGTATATTGGGCCATAGATTTACAGACTTTTCTCAGAGTGTAAATTAGCACTGACCAGTCTTTCTAAATGGTTAACCAGGTAAAGAACGAGGCCCAGAACTCCAGAAATTACAAATGTTCTTGATGCTGGAGTAAAACTGCAGGTGTCGAATCCCCAAGACATATTTCGAGCAGTACTTGCAGCTGATAATGTTCCTGGTTGATTACATCCACAACAGCATTAAACTAAACACTAACCTGTGCTTCCCATCGGCCTCATTATTCGCAGCGCTCCACTTCTGTCTGCGGCTGATAATGCGACGCCGGACACCATTAAGAGCCTTTAATCAACACACGCAAACTCCTGTGACTTTCTTCACATTGTTTGGGGTCCAGAAAACAACGTTACACAAGCACAAAATCTCCAGCCGCATGACAGAGGACGGGGGAAACGGGACACATGCTATATTTTTAAGATGTTTGTTTATTGGTCTCCTCTCAGCTTGAAAGGGAAGTTTTGTGGGACTCCTGCTGAGCGCCTGCTTTCAGACATCCTTCCTCACTGCACCGCTTTAGTGCTCGCCGATGAAATGCTGCCCGCTACTTTGTAAAGAACTGGGAAGTAGTACTTATTGATTTTATTTAAAAAAAAACGCTGGAATCAAGTTATTTTCATGATGTTTGGATCTGTTAAGACTTCTTGAACTATATTCCTTCAATGATTCAAATTTTGATTTCTTATTTATAATTTCAATATTTTTTTTGACTAATCAGATATCTAATCATGAAAAGATCCAGTTTAAACACCTTCCAAGATGCATAAAAAAAAAAAGGTTTTATATGCTAAGCTTGCAGTATCTCAAATTATATAAGAGTAGATCAGATTTATATCCATTTATAATTAGTGTTGTTGTTGTCGATGGCAGGTAAACCAAACCATTAAAAATAACAAAATTGAAAAAACAAAAACAAAAACAAAAAATACTACACACACACACACACACACAAAATAAAATAAAATAAAAAAATTACAACTAAAATTACTAAAACTAAACCAAAATAAAAATAAAAATAAAGCTAACAGAGCTATAAAAATAAATAAAAATACAACAGTACATACAAATTTAGTAACATTAAAATAAAAATAAAAGATAATTCAAAATAAAAATAAAAATATTTTGTTAATTAAAATAAAGCTAAATTAAAATATATTACACAAACTAATAAAATAATGATAATGACAAAAGCGCATATAAATGTACTAAAATTAAGATGAAAAGTAAAAATATAAACATAAAAGTGAATATATTGTTTTGTATTTATTATATTTTTTGATAGTAATACTATTTTGATATATATAAATATATTAATAAATATTAATATCAAAATATTCATAAATATGATAATATATTATAAGCAATACTAAAATTATACTGTGTATATGACCACATTTACATGACCAAATATAAATGGAACATGCATGATCTGATTGATTAAAACAGATCAACTGTAAATAACCCACATATTTACAAATGGGTTTCATACTTAAGACTTATCGTTATAATTGGTGTAATGAATTATAAAAACAAACATGCACTGACGAATTGTTCGCAATCAGAAACATGTATTAAAAACTATTTAAACAGGGTCAATTTCTTCATGTTGACTTTACGGAACCAGAGCTGTTAATTGGAACGATTCTCATCCTTTCTATATTGTGACCCTCATTTGTTTAATGAGCTGTTGTTTGGATGGTAAAAAAAGAGAGTGAAGTAAACAAGGTTAAATGAGTACAGAAACTATATGAAAAAGAATAAATGAACGCTGCTTTCTTAACAGACGTTAATTGCGATGCCAAGGACAGCAACAACAAAAGGTCATCTGATATTTCCCATTTCGAGGGCGAAACTAATGCCTGAGGGGCTTCTGGAGGGAGAAGGATTGGGATGGAAAACACAGAGAGAAACAGGGACTTCTGAGAAAGAAAGACGGAGAAAAATAATGTGAGGGAGAGAACGATTATGAGAGAGAAGCAGTGTGTGGGAGTTTATTGAGTGGCAAACACAGCTCCCTCAAGCAAAATCATCTAATTAGATTTCCATCCAACAGCCCCCTCATGACCCTTTAAGCTGCGCGAGGCTCGGAAAGTGAGAAGCCAAGAGTCTCCCAAAAGTCTTGCATGTTCTCCAGAGTCTTCCAGGACCAAAGGTCTTCTCCGAAAGTCTTCCTCCTGCACACAGAGGAGGAGGAGGATGCTGGCCTCCGAGATGGATGGGGAAGTTCAAGGAAAAGAGTTTGCATTCTATGAGTTTGCATTTGCATGAACACTTTCTACCAGCGATGAGGAGAGGAACTAACTGTAATTAGTTAGCTGAGGTGATAATTACACTGGGCATTGAAGACCTGGAAATAACCGGGTGATTTTAGCCAGGAAAAGTAAAAGTAAAAATAAATAATAAACTATTATTAAACTAAAATATTAAATAAAATATAAAACTGATGCACAATTAAATTGTAAATAAAGAACTCTCTAGTTATGCTCAGATTTAAAATATTGAATTGGCTAGAAAATCTAGCGTAGCGTTAGTTCTGGCAGGTCACGTTAGTCAAGCTCGCATCAGCTGACTCTCAGCTGATCCCCATCAACCTATGGGAATACGACACCTATCTAAGCATTCATATATAAGGTCCCTCAGTATTATCAGCAGTTTTCGCATTGCTCAATAGCTAATTACCCTCCTCCATCCCCAGCTCCTCCTCTGTCAGTCAGGATTCAGTCTTCATTCTAAAATGTGTACATAACAATATTGAACTTTAACGATATCTGCAATACATTTATGTTGGTTCTGTTATGTTTACCCTGGATGGGGGTTATAGCTGCTCTCCCTGCTCTCATCCATGCTAGGCTGCATGGATGCGCAGGGAGTTCTTGCCCAGAACAGAACCATACCGCCAATCCAAACTGTATGCTAATTGTCAATCATCTTTGACGATAGTGGTCCTGACAGAAATGCTCTTTGTGATGACAATCATTGGAAAATAATTTAATCACAGATGATTGCATGGAAAATCACTGATCAAAAAGTGTAAACCCTGTTAAACACGTGTAGCTCGTGTTTCTCTCTATAAAGTAGCATTGGGGAATGTGATTGATTTTAGACAATCAGTTCATTCAGATGATTCAATAAACTCGAAAAAGATTTGAGTCATTGTACAGAAATCCTAGTTCCACTTAAAAAGAAAATCAAGAAATTAATGATCAATTTAGTCATTCATGAACAAATGCATTTTTAAAAAAAATTTATAACATATTAAAAATGTGATAATAGGCATTTACAATGGTTTATTCTTTGTAAAATAATATTTAAAAATCCTTGTCCAGTAAGCACAAATGATTGCATGGAAAATCACTGATCAAAAAGTGAGAACCATGCTCTCATTTCTCTCTATCAGGTAGTGTTGGGAAATCGATTCATTTAGAGAATCGATTCATTCAGTTGATTCATTTCAATTAAAAGAAAAAAAAAAAAAAATAGAGTAAAAAAAAGATTTGAGTCCCTGTACAAAACTCCCAGTGAGACTTATTTAAAGAAATTAAATAAAGAAATGAAAAATTATTATATATTATAAATTTAGTAATTAACAAATGCATTTAAAAAATGCAATAAAATAGCAATGCAATAAAAGTTGCACTGAAAATTATTTATTATTTTAATATTTTATTGTTACATTTAACTACATTTTTAAACATGACATAAACAAACAATTGTAAATGCAGTGGCAGTCCGGTTTTAGGACGCAAAAGAGAACAAGCCTAAAAAAAGTGTTCAAAATAGACATTGCATAACTTAACTGCTGTTTACTTAATAATGGGCAAATCTCAGATGTGTATAACGATAAAACTTGTTATTTTTTCCTTCCACTTTAAGCACTACATGAATGCCAGAACAGGCTCACTGCATACAGGCTCCTCTCATTATTAAACTGACCAATCAGAACAGAAATTCAAATGACACAGCGTGATTAACTACCATCCAAATGCAGCCAAAAAAATCAAAGGGAGGATAAATGTGATTTCCCTCCTTCCACATAAATAACCCTCATTATCAGAGATGACCTTTCAATTACTCTTCAATTCACAACTCGCATCGTCCTCCTCTGAAAATCCCCTCGTGGAGCACCACTGCAAATATAGCTATCTATTTGTCCATTTAAAACATGACTGACTTCTACTCTTACTTTTGAAATAATACCTTGAAAATTGATTCCTTATTTATTTATTTTTTTCAAACTCCTAGTTCACAGCTTCAGTCCAGCCTGTACTTTCTGCAAGACAATTCCTGATATTTTCCACAGAAGTAATAAAATATAAAATCATGTGTGCTTTGAATGAAATGAGGGAGGGTAAATTTTCATTTTTGGCTGAAATAACCCATCTGTAGGAGTGAATTTAACACGGGTTCTGTGTATGTGTCACCATGTGAGTGGGAGCCAATCCATCTCCACGGCCGTCTGTGCATGCGCATGGGAACGAGAGTGTACTTTTCCCCTCAAACATTAGTCATGTAGCCGGGACTGTCCCGCGGGAGCACCAGACCCTTGTGATCTGTCATGGAGAGCCGCTCGGTGCTGTTTGATGTCTTGTGTACAGTTGACAGGCCTCTCGTCCCCGGGCCGTTCTTAGTATTTGCCTTTCCACTCGGCCTTTCCCTGCACACGCGACTCTATATGATATCTGTCTCTCCTCATGCCATCAGCCCAAATACCACAGGGTTACGTCCTCACACCGCTTCACATGTCAATCTGAACAATGGTCAGGCGTGTAGATAATGAACAAGATCATGAATGGGACATGCATAAATCAGAGACCTCTGCAAGGATAAACTTGAAATGTCTCTTTGTTCACTTCTGTGTTTTGTAAAGTCAACTAAGGTAATTGTGGGGAGATGCATCACTTTTTTACTATGGTACTAAATGATTATCAAATTAATGCACTGTGGTATTTATATCACAGTATATTTTTTTATAACAAGATACATGTCCTAAAAACTTGATCATACCATGTTACTATTTGTAAGTGAAGAGAAATAGTTCAAAACAAGAACTTACAGAAAAAGTACCATATTTCTTCGGAGTACTTCATGGTAGTACCATGGTAAATGTCCTGAAAACAGTATTACCATGACACCATTTGTAAGTAATGAGAAATACTTCAAATTGCATTAACAGAAAAAATTACCATAGTGCTACCATTTTTAGGGGGTATTTACAAGAAAACCATGGTACATGTCCCAAAAGCATGGTAGTACCATGATATTATTTGTAAGTGAAGAGAAATAGT